TGTTAAAATTGGTAACACTACTTAAGATACTCTTAATTCCAGTACCGGTGCCCCACAAAGCACCGTGCTTGCTCCGTTTTATTTACAATATAAACTGCAAACTTTAAATCTGCTGTCGAATGTCCCACAATTAAATACGCAGGTGATACTGTTATCGTAGGTCTAATTAAAAAGGTCGACCTGACCCAATATCAGGAAATTCAAAGATTTGTCTCTTACTGTAAGGATAATTTCCGTCAAATTAACACAGAGAAAACTAAAGAAATGGTGATTGACTATCGAAAAAAAGACGGGATGAAGAAGTAGCAGTTGTTATTGAAAATAAAGAAATTGAACGGATTACATCGTATAAATAGGCCTATCTGAGGGTGACATATGATATTAAACTCACATGGGGAAAGAAAAGAAAAGAACACTGTCATTTTCAAATTTCTGGATGAATAAAGTGATGTCTATGTCTATGTATTGTTTACGGTGATTTAAATGGTAGAAATCCTGATTCCCCCGAATTTGGTATTTTCTTTTTAATGATGTTTAAAATTCAGCTGGCCTTGTGCTCAGTTGTTTTCTATAATTAGGCCTATGCTTGTATTTTATTATTAATCATTGTACATTTTAATGTGTTCTGTATATAAACTCAACAAATTCATTTTAAAGAAATATTAATAGGCCTATGCAATGTAATTATAAATTATTAAATTAATCTTAATTAATAATTATTCTTTAAACAGTATAGTGCTTTTTATAACATCTGTGTGCAATGTTTATGTTGATAATATTTTACAATTATTAAATTAATAATTATATAAGTATATTTTTAAAATTAAATTTATTTATTTATTTATTCATAATCTTTTTTTTCTTGTTTCGCAATCGTTTGTAATATTTATTAATTATGTAGGCCCTATATAACTTGTAGTAATTCAATCAATACATTCGTTAAATAATCTTATTTTTTAATCTTTAGGAAATATTGTTAATATGCAATTTAGATTAATTATTACTTCTTTAAATAGTTAAGGGCTTTTTGTATATTTTTATGCCATTTCTATTGTGTGCAATATTCATGTTAACTTTTTTATCTTTTGAGTTACAGTAATTTATTTTATTTTATTTCAACTTTATTTCACGAGGGTAGCTCTAACAGCTGCACTACAGTAGTACAGCTGACTTGAAGAGGCCCTCGAAAGAAAAACAATACATAAAAATATATACAATACATTAAGAATCCAAGTAAGTAAAAGCTTCATTACGGCAAAGTTCAAAAACAATATAATAAATAAAATATTGGATAAGCATTGTAACATTCATTAAAAATACAATAAACTTTAAAATTCATTATAAAATTTCAAGGTGATGAATTAAATTTGCTTTAGCTGTCCATGACCATCGTGTTGTTGTTTCTTTTTGTTTTTATGCTTTTTACATGGTTTATGGTCGAATAAATGAAATAAAATGAAATGAGAAACATGATGTTGTAAATCGTATCAACATATAGTCCATCAATGTCTCTCTATCCCGTAGCGAGAGATTGCGGGTTGGATTCCCACCAGAGACCTCTCTTTTCCCCATACAACTAATAAGGAAATTTCGTTAATGAAATATGTTTCATACGATTTATACCATCATGTTACTATATATTTGACCATTATCTATTTTAAAATTTATACATTATTTGAGACCTAAAATTTTGGGGTAGTCTTAGGGTTCGGTCTCCAATTAAAAGATTAGTTTTGTGTTAAGATTGAAGATTGTTATTTGGTTCTTTGAAAAAATGGTCCCGAATTAGAGGGGTCTCGAATTGGAGGGTGCAATGTACTACCGGGCTTTCGCTTAAAGTTTGAATCCCAATTGAGGAAAACTGAATCTACACTCACAATGCGGAAAGCCAATAAAAACACTTGAAACAGCATATTCATCAATAAAGACTCGATATTTCATGTTCAATTAATGAAGGTTAAAAAAAAGGTTAAAATACATATAAAACTGTATAAATTATTTTAAAAATAAAATAAAGCCGTCGGGGATACCTTGCCTACACGTTGGGAAGTCGCGGTACCATCTGTCGACAAATTAATTAGAACCGCTTCTCAGTCAGAGACCTGACATGAGCGTGCCATTTTCTGACACTACGTTTTTAATTTTCTTAGCCCCAGCCATGTGGGCTGTGGCGGATTCAAGAGGTGGGTGGGGTGTGTCGGTGAACAATCAGTGGGATCAATCAGTTGGAAGAACAGCTGACGCCACCGAAACAAACATTAGAGCATTACATGACCAGACGTTTATTTTTATTAGAAATATTTACACCATACTACGTCAAACACCCGACAGTCAAACTACAAGTATGCATACATCCGTCTACTAAACTAGTCCTATGACGTTGAGCGTGACCATCAACGATTTTATTGTAAAAATTTCCAGGTGAAGCACTATTTGCGGCTTGTTGTGTAGGCCTATACTAATTAAAATAAATTGAAGTGGGTGGTGTGGACCACAAGGTAATTCTCATTTTCTCTTCTCAACAAAATGAAGTTCACGCCGCCACGCCCACCTCAGCCCCACCACGGTTGGTGTAAATAAGTGGTAAATAATCGAGTTCTCCCTTTACCCACTGCTGGATCGCCACGGAACTCATGGGTGTACTCCTTTTTCCCTTCTTTCCTCGCTTTAACTAAAAATTTTTTATATTCTTTTGCTTGACTGACGGGGTGGGGGTGGCACGGGCCCTCATGGCCCCCTGATGGATCCGCCACTGAGTTGAGTCACCAGTGGGTCCTAGACGTTCGGTCAGTATTAAATTTTAAATACCACAAATGCGGTCAAAACCGATGGAACGTATGATAAAAATAATTCTCGGCCTACAGAGGAAGATATCGAAACGTTTCAGTTTTCCTGCTGAGTAAGGCCTTTCATACTGTCCATGCCTCCAATTAACACTGTCTGGCCAAAAACAAGTCCCACAAAACCACCCGAAATCTTAAACGGCAGATGCAATATATTAATCTCCGTTTAATGACGGGAAAGAAAAGGATTTTTAAAAATTTCTACATATAAGTTAATAACGTATTTTACTTTAAATCAACAAATTAAGCAATTCGAATTTGTCAGATTAAGATTTATTGTTCATCACATTTAAGAATACATGAATCATGATGATTCACAATATTCGTGAATCATCAATCCACCTCTTCTATTTCAATGCTCCAAGATATGCCAATGCTCCCTACACCCAGAAGAATAAATTGTGCACCTTAATAATGATCATTGAAATGAAAGCGAATGTGTAGTAGGCTCTATATAATATTAACCACCAATAAATAAACGTTTGTTGCTCAATTCTGAAATATGTTTTTCACACTGTCGCGTTACTGTACAGTACGGTACCTTGACAGTTTCTATTGTGTGCAATATTCATGTGTGGGTGTGAGCCACGGAGATCAAAAACTTCAGGGGAATTGCTCCTGGGCCTCCCTTTGATGAGTCGCTGTTAATATAACATACATACACTTTACCTATATTAACTGCAATTTTTAATAACACATAGGCCTATGATATTACATGTTATCGCCACTGAGTAAGAGCACAGGAGTGCTCGAAATATTTCAATTAAGATATTTTATTATTATTAAGATATTAGCCATTCTTTGATATATAATACAGTATAATAATAAGAAAGGCTGCACAGGCAATGAAACTCGGAGATGGTATATAATTTTCCACAAATTTATTGAAAATATAGTGAGTACTTTCGGTTACTAACATTTAATATCAAGCCATGCCAGATAGAGCTTTATCAAGCTGTATTTACCTTTCTTTGATGATTTATATGTGCGTGTCTGTGTGTGTGTGTATGGGTGTGTGTGTGTGGGAAGCGCTTAGAGGCTTTATGCATGAGCGCTATTATAAGATAGCCTTGTCCCAAATATTAATTGTTTATTTTTACTTAGCTCAAAAGCCACGTAAACTAAAGCAGCGTTCCGAAAACTTTTTACTTCACGGCCTATTTACGATTCGGGGCACCAAGTCGCGGCCCAGCAGCCCAGCCGCGCCAGGGACCAACATACCAAATCCCGGCAAGAATTTTTGATCATGAATCTTTCATGTAGGTTCTTACGTACAATATTTTGAAATCATTATCTGTTCTCTCAGTGATAAAATTTCATTGTATTCAAATTAAATATTATTTTATTAAATAAATAATACCGTACAATTGTGTCCCCACCCCTCCCCCCACAATTGTCGATTGTTTATTTTTCCTACAATGATTCAACCAAACACGGTTCAGCCACACACGTCATAGCTTTCTCCTTCTTCCAAAAACTGTTACTCCGCAACTGTGAAAGATTACCGGTACCTTACAGGTATTATGTTTAGTAATAAAGTATCCACATGGGCATTCGGTTATCAAGAAATGTGTGGTTTGTTACAGTAGACCTAGTGATCTTTCTAGGACAGGTCTTATATTTATTTTTGAATTTAGCTCATGACTCATCCCATCATTTCTCCATACCGGATTTACTCGATCTTACAGGGTTAATACTAGACGATAACATAGTGTGTAGCTCCCGAGGGGGCATAGACACAAAAACCGCTTATAACTCAAATAGCACGCATCATCTGGCACATTTAGGAGCGTGTACAAGCGACGCATTCGCTGTAACAATGAAGCAGTTTATTAAAAACTATTTTCTTCATTATGACACGTCTCTTTGTTATTTTTTTTTCAAATATCCAGACGGTTTCACGGCCCTTCAAAAATGTTTCGCGGCCCAAATTTGGGCCGCGGACCATAGTTTTCGGAACGTCGAACTAAATCATTCTAGGCATTGGACTAAACATTGTCTGCTGCCCTCTATGCAATAACAACAACTCGACCTCTCGATTCATCCCTAGTCTGCAGACACCGAGATCCAGACATCCGCATTTGTTATTGTATGCAATCATTTAGGTAAAATGTATAGCATTCAGGATGTTCACTATGACTGTGTAACATATTTATTCGAACTCCATCTTATAATTGTATGAAGATAGGTTAAGCTCTAAGGTTTAGGCCTAGGAGACCCTAGGCGTAACACTAGACTAGCCGGTTGGTTCGCGTCCTCGTCGGGTCGTGTTTAGCCCTAGGCTAGCCCTGCCTAGCCTAGGTAGATAGGGCGGGGTGGTTTCACTTCCTAGAAGAAATTTAGGGCCTGTTTCTACTGGAAAGTAAACATCGATTAAAAATCGGTTTTTCAAAAAATCGATTTTTTTTTCTCGCAGTAGAAACAGGAACAGTTCGAAAAAAGTGATTAAAAAAAATCGATCGCAATGTATAGCGGCAAATAACAGATTATATAAGGTGAAATGCATGGAGGGTGAAATAACCTCCAGGTCAAACCACTGCAAAGCTAGATCGTATCACGCGCGTACTTTAAAAATGATTAGTCCTGTTTCATTATGAAGTTAGTACATTTATCCACATTATTTACTTAAAACATCAAATTATATCATGTGTTGTGACCAAAAATATAAACAATCAAAAGACCCTATTTCAAACACAGTTTGCAATGTTTAAGTACTGAAATATTAAGATTTACATTATGATTTAGTGTAGCACACATAGTGACTGAGATTCATACGACATTCATTAAAGATTTCCACCAGTACGACATCTCAATTACTATGTTCAGCGTACCTCATTGTAGACCTATATTATTAGGGTCCATAAATTCCTGAGCAGTCTCTCTGGGCACCAAGTGTCAGGCATGCTGAGCAATTCTTGAGTAAGACCATTTAAAATAGTAGAGAATATACTTATACATATATTTATTTGAATAAATACTCCCTCGAATGAACGCCCTGAGGTTTTTACTTTTCATCGAATAAATCCCCTCCCCCAAAAAATGATGGTAAACAAATATAATGGATAAAGGTGCCTTGATAAAGACCTAAGGATAAGGCGAAATATTGGTTTTTAATATATATATTTATCAAGGCATCTTTATCCATTAGATTTGTTTACCGTCATATATGTACTAATAAATTATCATATTGGACCTAGGCTTGGGGCCTACAGTAGGACTATTACAAAAGTGTACCATTTTAAAAATTTTCTGAACTCCTCTGATGCTCATTATGAATGTACAGTACTGTACTAGTATAATAGAGTAACCTCTCTTTCTTTACAACAGGGTGATTCATTGGGCATTCATCCTATGTCACCAACATAAACCAAATCTCCATTGTAAAGGACAACATGGTATATTTTCAAGTGAAACACACTTTTGTGCCTTTGCTTTCAGTTGTGTTTGTAATCATGTCTGCCTCAACTACTGAACATCTCTCTGATGTTGCAAAAGCCAGCAATGAATTTTCATTTCATCTGTATAAAACACTGCTACCAACTACCAAAGATCAGAACATTTTCTTCTCGCCTATAAGCATCACAACGGTGCTGTCAATGACGCACCTGGGAGCACGCGGTCAAACGGCTGATCAGATGAAGCAAGTTCTGCGATTTCAACATATCGAAGATGCACAATATCACAGATCTTTCAAAGAAATGAACCAACTGCTGTACACCAGCGATGGTTCTAACATCTTGAAGTCTGCAAACCGTCTTTTCAGTCATCAAGGGTTCCGCATTCAAGATGAGTTCCTCCGCCAAACAAAAACTCATTATGGTTCTGAGTTAGCAACCCATGATTTTATACAAAATTCTGAAGAAGCTGTAAAAGCCATAAATGCTTGGGTTGAAAGGGAAACAGACGGTAAAATCAAAGGTTTGATCCAGAATATTGACCCAATGATTCGTTTGATTTTGATTAATGCAATTTACTTTAAAGGAATGTGGTTGCAACAATTTGATGAACAAAATACTCGTAAAAGTAGTTTTTATGTCTCTAGTAAAGATAAGCTTGAATGCAATTTGATGTATCAAAAGAGAGAATTTAATTTAACGTATGACTCGGAAAATAAGTGTGCTGTTCTTGATCTACCATATAAGGGCAATGATCTGAGCATGCTCATTGTCTTGCCAGATGAAGTTGATGGGTTAACTAGGCTAGAGAATAAGTTATCGGCTTCACTTCTGCAATCCTGGACCAGTAAATTAGAAAGTGAAAAAGTTGAATTATGGCTTCCAAAGTTTAGTTTGTCACAGAAGTTTCAGTTAAATGATGCACTAACTAAAATGGGGATGGGATATCTATTCGATGCGGCAAAAGCTGATTTGTCTGGAATCGCGGAAGAGTTGTTTGTGAGTGAGGTCATACATAAAGCATTCATTGAAGTTAATGAGGAGGGTAGTGAAGCTGCAGCAGCCACAGCTGTTAAGATGATGAAGCGTTCAATAGAACTCGTCACTCAGTTTCGGGCTGATCATCCATTTTTGTTTGTTATTCGTGACAGGCGCACTGAAGTGGCGCTCTTTATGGGCAGAATGGCAAAACCACCAAATGGCAATGGACATGATGAGCTGTAAAATTTTGTAATCAACAGTAATTAGGATTTTGTTTCTATTTCTTCAAGTTGCTCAATAATTTCAATAGTTTAAAATACACTAATATATTTTTTAATTGTTCATCATAATCATTATTATTATTGTCATCATTATTATTGCTATTTTCTATTGCTTAGTTTTCACAATTAACAATTGTTAAAGTTACGGTATAATATTCTGACTATAATATTGTTATCAATTGTTATGAATACATTCCTAGTATTATTAGAGAGTTGTAATTTCTTAAATATGAATACGGTATGTTGGGACATATTCTCGGACTTGTTGAAATTCTCCACCAGTTTCTGCGTTGAATTTTGCTTTTTTTAACAGCACAGATTTGTTTGCTGGATGCCAAGTTAGGCACCGAATAAATAATTTTTAAACAATAATTAATGATTTGTTTATAATTGTGGCATCATATCTGAGGAGCTTAGGTTAAGAGACATTGCCCCAAATCGTTTAGAATGGTCAAAAACGTCTGTTAATGTGTAAAGAAATGTTAGTCTCATTGTTATTTATGTTAATTATAAAAAACAATTTTTTATTTATATTTCATCATGATACAATATGTATCGGTAACCTGTCGAGAGCCAAGCAATGGCAAATGGCAATAAGGTACTGTAGCAGGAGACAAAAGTAGAATAGTCGCAAATATACTTTAATATACAAACAATGTTGAGGAGTACACTGATTAGGACTGATGTAATTGTCTCTAAAATCAATACTCAAACTGCTTTCCTAACTAAACACAGGTACATATATACATGGGGACAGGAGACATGGGTTGGTGACTCATTTAACTAGTAATGGTAATTAATTAGGGAACAGCACATGCTTTGCTGTAGTGGAATAATAGGAATAGTAGGAATTTACATACAGTTAGTCACAGATTGCAACACTACTACAGGTATGCTCTGGGGAATTAGGTGGGTGAATGCCTTGAAAATTTACATTTTTTGGTTCAGAATTAATTATATTTTATTTATATTGCATGTTGAATTTAGAATTTAAGTACTATAACTATGATTGTGTTTAGTTTTATTAAGACTTTTTAACTTGAAATAAACCAAAAATTATACCATAATACTAGATTCTAAGAAATTTAATTGGCTGAAAATATATTTTAAAGCATTTTTATTTTAAAACT